CACTGATTCTAATTTTTTTTTTTTTTAACAGGCTCCTTCTTTGAGAAATCTTTTTATTTCCCAGTTTGTTGTTTTCCTGCTCACCCGACCCTCCTCCAAGCTCACAAATACAAAACTGGCAGGGGAAAAAAACAAAAAATCATATTTATATCCCTAAATCAGCGCTGTCATCATGTTGTTGACCTGTCACAGAAACTACTGCTCCTACCAGAGGGCAAAAAGGTGAACACATTCATGGAATGCAGGGCAACTATTTTATGCTTTGTCACCTGCTGCCTTGCATTTCCAAAACCTGCATATCTTGCCTGCCTGAAGAAGGAAAGTTGCAGTTTTGTGCATAGAACCACATGTTGGTAGAATCTTGTATTTCTAGGGTGGAGATTTTTTGGCTGTCATTCATCTTTTGTGTTTAACAAGCTCAGAAACTTTCCAGACCAGTTTTGGATGGAGCTCTGTGAGCAACCTGGGCTGGTGGAAGGTGTCCTTGCCCATGACAGAGGGTTGGAACGGGATGGTCTTTAAGGTCCCTTCCAACCCCAACCGTTCTGTGATTCTGTGGTTCTGTGAAAAACATTTTAAGCAGGTGCCTTTCTTTATCTCCTGCAACAACCACAGCTGACATCTGATGTGCCCAGTGTGAGATTTCAAGTCCCACAGAGCACCAACACAACATCAAGGTCTCCCATCACCTTTGGGCACCTTGGACAGGAGTGTGAACACGCTGAGCTTTCTCAGAAAAAAAAAACACATAGACCTGTAGATGTTTCAGGTGGAGATCTCACCCTGAGGGATCTGCCACTCTCTCCCTCTCTGGAAGACCCATCCCACCCAGCTGACAGGATAACAACCATCTGGAACCTCAGATCTGAATTTTTTGTGCCTCTGAAATGCACTTGAAGTTGGGGGTTATCAGGACCCTGAGGTTCTGTGACACTGATGGAAACTCTGAGCCTTCTCTTTGAATCCACCTTACCCACTACTGAACATTGTGAGATTCTGTTTTTCTATTTTAAACAAGGCTTTTAAGAGGTTGAAATATTCTGCTGATTGCTCCTCGTATTAAAAAGGAAAAGCTCTGGCAGAATGAATGTCTTGGTTAGCTGAGTTTTTGTCTCCTATGGAGAACATTCCCAGCAGTTCCCTGGCTGTATTTGTACATATTTATATTTTCATTACATAAATAGCAGGGAAGTTCCATGTGCACTGTGTTAGAGACACCTGCAGTCCTACAGAGAACTTGACTTCTCTGATGGGGTTATGAGATGCTGCAAATCACCAGGCAGATAAACTCATTAAAAGCTCTCCCATTAAATCCTGCATGGAAAAAAATATTTTCTTTAAAGAGCAGGGACCAACCCAGTCACCTCTGCTGGAGCCTGAGGAGCCTCACATTTGGACTACAGTAGGAAATGCACTGAAAAACATTGCAGGGTTAGAGAGGAACTAGTAGAATATTGTGCCTGAATACACCCTGTTTCACCTTTTAAAAATGACAGAGGCTGAAATGTAGATACCTGAACGTAGCCTGGCACTGCAAGCGACAGCTAGAGGTGAATAACAGAGAGTTCTCAGCTCTGCAGCCCAAACACACCCTTAAAAGCTGGAGAAATATCACCCCCTTCAGCAAACAGGGGCTGAGCAAACAGATCTGCTTTCTCTGTTCACCATCAGATGGAGGTTTCGCTCCCTGCTATGGGAGGTGCTGCCTGTGCATCCAAATCTGGATTTGCCCATCTCATTGTCACACAGGGGTCACACTTCCAGGCTGGTACACAAGAGGCATCACTTACACCTTTGCTTTTTAATCTCTTTTTTTTTTTTTTTTTAAAAAAAAAAAAAAGGAAGTCAGTGAATGTGTTTCCCACTTAATGAAACATCACAAAGAATGTTCTGCCATTTAAGCTTAACTATGTTAAAAATGCATCCACAAGAAATTCTAAATATTAGGTGAAGAAATACATGTGATTGAATTATCCAGACAGTTAGAACACCTGCATTGCAGTTACATTTAAAATTCAGTTCATACACTAAGCCAACTTTGTGAGTCATGAAATTCATTGTTTCTCAAGTGCATTTGGAACCAGACAAAGGAAGGATGGTTTAGGATCCTTTCTCCTCAATAATTTCATGATGAATTTTGTTATATTATCCAATTTAAAAAAAAAACCAAACCTTTCCACTGGATCAGGTTGCTCACTCATCCAAAGTGAAGAAAAGAACGAGAGTGACTGAGAAGAGTCAGCCCAGCTAATAAAAAATGGGTTAAAATCAGCTAAAATAGCAACATTGGCATTTAAATCTGGGAAAACAAATGGGAAAAAAAAAAAAAAAGCTCAAGAATTCCTCTAAAAGGCCTAGGAGTTGTTTTCAGTCCCAAGTGAGTCATAAAGTGGAACACCTTTAATAGGCCAATACAGAACAACCTGTTGAACACATGAAAAATCAAACCACCCTTAGTCTCTGACAGTTAAAATTGGCTCAACATGCACACTCCTGAATATATCTCGGCCATTTATTTTCTTGTTGGTAAATCCAAAACCTGCCCATCCAAGCAGATCCAGGAGCTATTGCAGGCACCTTGAGGAATGGGGTCATGTGCCTCGAAATGAGGGTCAATCCCAACATCCAAGAACAGGAGCTCTCCTGGAGGGTGACTGGAGATTTGTTGAGTACCAGGTGCACGTAGAGGAAAGCAGTAAAAAAGAAGGTATTTTCAGGAACTTTCTGAGGGTTAGGATGGTATTCAAATTTATTCTAATTTTTTAATTTTTTTTTTTTAAATTCACATCCACTCCCTTGGTAGAAAATCTGCAAATCTGCACAAGAGGCAAGCACCAATTTAAGGTCTCTGGCACAGCAGGTTAGAGGTTGTTTGAAGAGAAAATGTGTGTCCCAGTGGGGAGAAACGTGTTGCCACCAGCATTGCAAAAGAGCCACAGCAAGGGTAGAATCATAAAATAACATTATATCGTTCCCCAAATTTGATCTGCCCAAAGAAATGTAGGGAATTACTAATTGCATAATTTTGCAAGAAAATTATGGTACGATCTCTGTCACTGGCTTAAGTCTCTGCACTGACCAAAGAAATGTGTGTGCAAACACACAAATTCATGTGTGGTAAAAGCTTAACTTTGGTGTCTGGATTCCTGCAAAAGACTGGAATAAAACCATATAAATAAGATCATAAACACTGCAGACACACCACGTCTCTAAAAGCATGTTTCTTCCCATTAACTCTGGTTTGCTCCACAGTATTTCATTAAAGAGCTGTTCTTTCCAAAAGCTGGAGCTGATCACTAATTATCCAGCTCAGCAACCACAGCTATGTCCTGAAACGTTAACAATTGGAAACTTGCTGTCCTTCTCCATCTGCCAGGAAGGTCATGCCCATGAAAGCTCTGGAGATGTGTTCATTTACTTCCCTTAATTAAAAACCGCTCGCCTCGAAAGGAGAAGACACCTTTTGGCTGCCTCCAGCCTAGCACCGAAAATCTGTGTTTAAATAATCTAATGTATGGTAAAAAAAAAAAAAAAAAAAAAAAAAAAAAAAAAAAAAAAAAAAAAAAAAAAAAAAAAAAAAAAAAAAAAAAAAAAGAAAAAGAAAAAGAAATCAAACCAGCATCTGAATATCAGTAACATTTTATAGTCAGGATTTCCATTTGGAATTATATTATTTGGATGAACACAGGGGTACTGGCAGTTCCAACCCCGTTCTACAGAATTTAGCTGAATTATCTTACATTTCAGGTTTTCAGTTAAATAGATTCCACTCTAAATAAGATCCCAAAAGGAAGAAAAAAAATTGTATTTTTGTGTGCCCAAGTAAAGATACTGTCACCCTGTGTGGTGACATTGTGAAAGACAGGTGACACAATGGGTACCCAAGAGCAAGGAACTCTGTAAAAACTCCTAAAAGATGCTCTGGTCACATCACTACCATATTAAATTGTTTTTCTTTAAAGATAAAACAAAATAAATGTCAAGAATGCTTTCAAACACCTGACCAATAAAGTGCAACAACGGGAGAATATCTGTATATTAAGCAATTGTAAAGCATTTGGATGGAAATCATGGAAAGTTATTAATAAAAATGAGATGGAGGATTTGGATCCTGGTGCTGTTTGTCACAGGATCCCTCTGAGCAGAGTTTCTCCAGAAGTGATGAGAAGCACATTTATGATCAATGGGCTGGCAAAGAGCTGAGTTGAAATGCAAGATGAGTTTATTATAAGGGTTGTGTGCTGTTCCTCACAGCTACAAAAGGAAAAAAAAAACATCTTTATTCAGTGTTTTTATGGCTGTTCTGTGAGGTCAGACACAGCCACAATGTGGAGGGGGGCAATGGAGAGGAACAGTCACAGTCCCCAGACGTGAGTTATTAATGGAATAGTAAGACTTCTGGGGAAAATTAATCCCTGTCATCTTCAGGAAGAGTTGAATGTCTTCAGAAACATGATAAATGACTTTGAATGCCTTTAGTAGCTTTAGAGGAGGGCCATTTGTATTGTTCCTTAAAATCACTCCTCTGAAAATGGAAGCATCCAAGAGCACTGCCTGAAATATTCCAAGGTTTAGGTTTCACAGGGCTGATAGGAATCTCTAATTTTAGGCCCTCTGTCTGGAAAAAAGTATTCTTAAGCCCATGGATTTGAAAGAGAAGCCCCATTTTTTTTTTTTTTTAATTATAGCTTTATTTTATTTTTAATCTTGGAGAAAACAGTGAACGAGTGCCCTTTAGGAACGGACTTGCCCTGTTCAGGATGAGCAGTGACCACAGTCCTGTTGCATTAACAAAGGAGGTTGGAAAAAACTGCTATAGAAAAAGCCAGAATTGGCGTCAGCAAGAGATTCTTCACTCCTGGCCATCAGGACACGTATTTACAGCAGGACAATACAAATAAAAAGGTCTTTGCTTACCGTGGGAAGCAATGTGAGAGTGAAGAGGCAGATCTTCCAGGTGAGGGCCATCTTCCCTCTTAATTAACTTCAGTCAAGGTTTGCTTGTTATCACTGTGATTAGGGCTGAAGCACAGGCTCTCTGCAGGTGTTTTGGTCGAGGTCTTCACCTCAAGGCTCAGATCTCTGCAATGAAAGAGGAAAAGTATTAAAAATACGGAAACCAGGAAGAGAATGAAAAAGAGATGGACAGTAAACAGAGAACCCAACACTTGAACTTTGAGTTGCACATATTGGAGATTGCCCATCCCTGTCTGCATTGCAGCTGTTATAGATGGTTTTGGACACCTAATTTAATTTCAAAGGACATCCAAAAAGTCTGTGTGATCAGTACCTTGTCTCAAAGAAACTACCAGAACAGGCTCTGTAGATGCAAAGATCGAAATTGCACCCAAAGGAGAAGGTAGGATGGATTATTCTGAGCCAGAAAAAGGACCTGCCTGCTGAATTTCTGAAGCTGTGATTCACCCTTCATGATTCTCAGCAGTCTCTCAACAGCACAGCTGTCTGGGGGCTTTTTAGGAGTCTGGATGGCAGGATGATTTACTCCCAGAGATCATTTGTCCAGGTAACAAAATCCGTGACAGGAGTTGTTAAAGCCCCCAGCTCTTGGAGAGCTCACAAATAGAGGTGCAGAGGAATGAACTGTGGTCTTGGGGTAAACATCCACCCACATCATAAAACAGGATTGACTTCTATCTGTGACTTCATTGCTTGCTCCCTGCCGAGGAGCCGAGCGGGTGGTCAGGGCATCGACAGAATTCCCCACCTGACAGTAGTTCAGTCCTCATTTAAAACACAACCCTCCCTCAAATCTCCATACCTTGGGGTCTCAGGGCTCTCCTTTCACCTACAGTCAGGTTTTTAGTATGGAGATAAATTTGCATATTCATTCTTGTTCTTTCCACAGTTGTCCCCAGGTCCCACAGGTGGATCCCCATGTATTGGATTTGGGAGTCAAATTCAAACAAAAAAGAGGAAGATCAATGGAAGGGGAAGGTTTTTTAAGATTTGGATTTATTTTTTCATTATCCTGCTTTGATTTGTAAAGAACTGATTTGTAAAAGAACTTTTACAATCAAAGGACACTCAGTTTTTATACTGACTGTGACATACTGCCAGGACATCAGCATTTAGAAAGGAGAGAGTCCTTCAATTAAAAAATAAAAAAGGAAAATTAATCTCTCTCTAAAATTTTTGGAGAACAATGGTTCATAAAATTCACCCTAATCTGATGTGTTTTCCTCCATCCTCGCTTGATCAGTCCCTCCCGCTCTGCTCTGGCACTGAATTTAATCACTGAACTGTGTTGCTGATGGTTTATCAAATAATGAGGGACTGATAAGATCTCAGCTGAGGAGGACAGCAAACATCCATGGTGACATTCAGCCTTGGGGGCTGGAAAAAGAAAGTCACTCCATTAACACAGGCAAAGAGAAAACCAGACAGAGGCATCAGCAGACGCTGGATTTGAAATTATTTCTTGATCATTTGCACTCCCGTGGGCAGGCCAGTCCAGAAAGGCCAGAGAGAGGTGTGGAGGTTGAATGATGTCCTTGCATTTTGTCACTGTAATGCATCAGAAATTTGAATTATTTGAATTTTTTAAATGCAATAGAAGGGTGGGAGATGCCTGACTAAAGTGGGGACCTTTAGAATCCGCTCTTTCCATGTCCTGAAGACCTGGTTTTACTTTAACCTGGCATTCACCAGGTTTAAAAAGTGCAGGCGTTTTTCTGCCTCCCATTTCACCTGAGTTTCAAAGGAACTTCTGAAAGAGACAACAGGAACATCTGCAAACCATTTCACTGCTTTTCTTTCACATATTGCAGGGAAAATAAAAGAATCTGCTTCATTTTTTATTTTTTTTTTTCCCCTTCAAGGTAGTCATGGAAACCTGCATCAAATGCTGGGCTGAGGCCTTCATGTCATCCACAGAGACTCAAGTGTTTATTAGGTAATAACAACTCCCACTTCTGTGAACTTCTGACCTGAACCTGCAGCAGAACCTGTTTATTAGTTAGCAGTTCCCAGCATGCATGATGTACATACATGCATAGCCCACCTACTACCAATTAAAGGCTAATTATTGCTAATTAAAGTCTTGTTATCTGTATTACCTAGTTTTCTCTACTGTCAATTAAAACCTAGTTATCTCCCAGTCAGGTACTATCAGCTACGTTTTACTAGAAAAATAAACTTATTTAAAAAATGCAGGCAGTGTTGATAAAGCATTAGCTTTCAGTATTGAGAAAAATAATTAAATATATCAATATAGGATTTGGAAGGGAAGCTCGAATTATCAGATTTTCTTCTGATGTCACTGGTAGCCAAATCCTGTAATTTCATTAGGAAATTAGAGATACTGATGCTTCATGTTGCTGTTTTAGCTGCTTCTGCCACTGTAATTAAAATTAGTGAAGTCAGAGTAGCCAACGCACCTTTCAGATATGGATATATAGTTCCCCCAAAATAATCTTCCATTATCTCTGTGAAACAGAAGGGCTTTTGAAGTGTCTGAGAATCTGAAAATCAGTTGATTGTTACTAAAATGGAATGGGCTTCAGGGGGTTATTTCAAACATGGCTGAAATACAGAGAGAAGAATTAAAAAAAAAAAAAAAAAGGCCTTGTTTTGGTCAACTAATGACTTCAGAAGATAATTTGTCACCATGAAGGTAAATTCATTTGTCCCCTGTAAACACCAAAGCAGATTCTTTCTGGAAGTATCTTAGATTCTTCAAGGGCAGGGTGGAAAAGCTCTGGCAAAACTTGTCCTGCTGCCAGTGCCCACTCCTTTCCCCTGTCTAAAAAGGGACTCTGGGGGCTGATGAGGACAATTTTCCACTAGAAGCCCACAAGTGTCAAGTGCACAATGTGATGTCACTCATCAACACAACCAGACAGTGAGTCCTTCCCAAGTGTGATGTGTCTACTCCCAGAGAGGCATAAGCAGTGCAATAAATCACTCCCTAAAAGAAGAAAAAGTCACCACATCAAATAATGAGTAAAACTGTTTTGCAGCCTCACGTTGGATGAGTGAAAGAGGATTTCTGGTGACTTTCTAAGGCAGTTGTGAGCTGTTATTGAGATCTCACCCAGAATAAACCGTCTGCTCTGGGCTCCTCGTTGTGGTCCTCTGGGATGTGTGCCGGTGGTTTGAAAGGAAACCAAGAAATTTCAGAGTTGACCCACAATGGCTTAGACCACTGATGATCAAATGGTAATTTATCACTTTCATCTTCCTTTGGTGTCTACTCAGGGCCTCCCACCACATCCTTTTCCTGTGCCAGGACCAAGGTACAACACAAGTGGGGAAGTCAGAAAGGTTCTGACAAGGTGCAGCATCAGCTGAGCTGTTGCAGACTGAATATATTTCAGAGAAGTCAATCACTCCGTGCACAGTCATTCCAGTTCTTCCTAAAGACATGCAGAATGTTTCCCCAGGAAGAATAAACATGGGGGGAAAATTGTTGGGTGAAGAATTGGGAAGGTGCTGAGGGGAATAACCCAGATGTCACCAGCTGGTCTGGCCCACAGAACACTCCCTTGTCACTCCCATTTTCTCCCCAGGAAATGGAACTCCAGAACTGTTTGTGGCACAGGGTTTGTAAGTGGTCATTTATAGCTTATATATGAACCAGTTAATTATCACAGAATCATTAAATGGTTGGGGTTGGAAAGGACCTTAAGGATCACCCTGTTCCTCCCTGTGCCATGGGCAGGGACACCTTCCACTAGCCCAGGTTGCTCCAACCTGGCCTTGGACACTTCCAGGGATTCAGAGGCAGCCACAGCTTCTCTGGGAAATCTGTTCCAGTGCCCCACCAACCTCAGCAAGGAATTTCTTCCTAAAATCTCATCTCAACCCACCCTCCTTCTGCTTAAGGCCATTCCCCCTTGGACTTTCACTCCCTGCCCCTGTGAAAAGTCCCTCTCCACTCCTTTGTCAGCCCCTGGTGAGCAATCTCAACTCCTTCAGCCTGAATTCCCAGGAGAGATGTCCCAGCCCTCTGATCAACTTGGTGGCTTTCATTGTACAGCTGATTCTTTATCTGTGTTCTTCAGGCTCTCAATACAAGGTGTGCAACCCAGTGCATTTAATTCTTTCCCTCCTCAAGGTTCCAAAATGTAGCAATCTACAAACTGGGCAGGGTGCACCTTCCTGGTGTCAAACTGACACACTTGCCAGCAACGAGCAGAGTTGGGAAATCAACCCTTCAGTGACCCAGGACACGTCACCTAATTTTAGAAACCCAGGAGACACATGAGCTCATTGTCAAGTCCCTTTATAAAGCCAACAGAGAGAAGCAGCCATATGAAGAAAGCATTTTGGTCTGACCTATTTTAACTGCCTGCTTTCAACTTTCAGCTTCCCTCCCCGAGTGTAAAGGAATTCTTGACATCCACCTAAATTTGGGCAGAATGATCCCACCTCCAGTCTCTTCTGAAATATATGGATCAGCAAGATGAAACACAAAACAGCAAAGTTTGACACTCCACAAAGGCCTGAGAAGGAATTTGATTGTTTAGGGTGTCAGTAAACTAATGCTGATGCATTTAAGGCAACAGAAAAGCTAAAAGAAGGTTTAACTGAATATCAGGCAGCAAGAGCTCTGAAGTTTCCCATGGAAAGTAGTCCATAAAGAGCAATCTTATTAAGGCAGAGAGAAAGAACATCATGATCTTTCCACTATTTTTAACAGAGCAGTTACTATTTCTCGGAGTTTAAATATTTTGGGTTGTTTTCATTTACTTAATTAGTAAATTCACTGAAATTAGAGTTTCTTCATGCATCACAGCATCTGAGCATCTGACTCTACTTGCTTTTTAAAAACCAAGAGGACATTTGTTGTCCCTTTACACGTTTAACTGGAAAAGTCCCCCAATTCCTTGTTTCTATTGCCTGTGTCTGTTGTCAGTGAAAAACCAGGATTTGGAGGGTAATTATGTTAGGAGTTCTGAGAGGTGGATTTTGTCCTGCTACAAGGGACAAACCCCTTTTCAGCTGCACCTGAATGTTTCAAGGGTCTCAGGCAGAAATGCTACACCTTTTCCTGGCAATTTAACGTGGAAATAATAGTTGAAAGAAACACATTCAGCTGCTGCCTGGCTGAGGCATTTCGG